AATTTTATTTGAATTAATGTTTTGTTGTTCAAATTGAATAGTGTGCTGTCAATGTATTTGAAAAAAAAGGTAGGGGTGCACACACAGAAGTTTAACTTTTCAGACTATACAAACATACTATGAAGTGGTATGTACAAACTTACAAATTTTGGTTTATTATTGCAACAGTTTGTACCCAAACAAGACAGTTCCATTGACTGTGGTGCTTATCTGTGCAAATTATGCATATCTAATATGATATTGTTAAAATTAATTGACTTTTAGTTTGCCTATACATCATACTGTGTTGTGATGGAGTGTTCCGATATGTTGTCCAAGTATAAATTCTATTGTAATGGTTATGCTCTGTCATAACATTGTTTATTATATAACTTCAAAATTTTTGAGGCAATGGCTTATGACTCTCATGCTTCACAGTTTCAGGTACAATTTGCTATTGAAATGGAATATCATTTTTATATAGGTGGAAGACAATAACTATTAGCATTGCAACCAGAGTTGCTTAGTGCTAAGCAACTCTTTATAATGATTTACAAGCATTGAAAAGGGATCTGCAAAAAAAAGTGTGGCATTCCTAGCCCAGGTATGACAAAAATATGCATACTAGAAGTAACTATAATTTTTACATTTATTACGTAGGATAACTACTTTTTGGCTGGATTCTAAAACTCAATATAACTATTTCAAAGGCTCTCCTTATCTTTAAAGAGCAGTGATTTCAAGGATATTGAATTATTATTATTTTAATTGTGTAATTAAATGAAATCAGTATCTCAGTATAGTGTTGCATGCAATAGCACTGATAAAAATTAATCATAAAATTTCACTATGTACTATGTTTATTATTAGACTTACACCAAATAATATAGAAAAATCATTAAAATGGTGTCACTGAACTCCTATTAAGAATAACAAATAGAATTCAAGTGATGGTTCAGCATTGTGATGCTTCATGCAGCCTGTAGTAGCAATTTTGCATTGATAAAGTTAAATTTTCGCTAACATGACCTCTTCTATTGGTCCTAGCATAGTTAGTACGTACATAAATTTATTTTCCAAGTATAGAAGTGTTTTAAAGACAGACTATCCATGAATGATTGTCCTTTACATGGATATTTATGGTCCTGTCGGGTCCGCATCAGTCAATCCGTCCGTCAGTCCTTTTCGGGCGGGGCGGGTCCGTCCGTCCGTCCGCTTTTGAGACCCTACCCTCCTGAGCCTATATAGCTAGTCAGGCTCCGCCTGACTATCCTGAGCCCGGTTTTACCAACCCCCAAACTGAGCCACCCAAGAGCAGTGAAGAACAAGATAAGCTGCCAAATGAAATGGATAGTGTGAATCCAAAGCATCGATGTGAGGGCAGTGAGACTGAAACTGAACAGCCTGCACCCTTTAATGGCAAAAGCACTGAAGAACAAGATATGCCGCCAAATGAAATTGCCCCACAGAATCGATGTGAGGGCAGTGACACTGAAACTGAACAGCCTGCACCCTTTATAGTCAAAGGCACTGAAGAACAAGATAAGCCACCAAATGAAATTGCCCCACAGAATCGATGTGAGGGCAGTGACACTGAAACTGAACAGCCTGCACCCTTTAAAGGCAAAGGCACTAAAGAACAAGATAAGCCACCAAATGAAATTGCCCCACAGAATCGATGTGAGGGCAGTGACACTGAAACTGAACAGCCTGCACCCTTTAAAGGCAAAGGCACTAAAGAACAAGATAAGCCACCAAATGAAATTGCCCCACAGAATCGATGTGAGGGCAGTGACACTGAAACTGAACAGCCTGCACCCTTTAAAGGCAAAGGCACTGAAGAACAAGATAAGCCACCAAATGAAATTGCCCCACAGAATCGATGTGAGGGCAGTGACACTGAAACTGAACAGCCTGCACCCTTTAAAGGCAAAGGCACTAAAGAACAAGATAAGCCACCAAATGAAATTGCCCCACAGAATCGATGTGAGGGCAGTGACACTGAAACTGAACAGCCTGCACCCTTTAAAGGCAAAAGCACTGAAGAACAAGATAAGCCGCCAAATGAAATTGCCCCACAGAATCGATGTGAGGGCAGTGACACTGAAACTGAACAGCCTGCACCCTTTAAAGGCAAAGGCACTGAAGAACAAGATATGCCACCAAATGAAATTGCCCCACAGAATCGATGTGAGGGCAGTGACACTGAAACTGAACAGCCTGCACCCTTTAAAGGCAAAAGCACTGAAGAACAAGATAAGCCGCCAAATGAAATTGCCCCACAGAATCGATGTGAGGGCAGTGACACTGAAACTGAACAGCCTGCACCCTTTAAAGGCAAAGGCACTGAAGAACAAGATAAGCCACCAAATGAAATTGCCCCACAGAATCGATGTGAGGGCAGTGACACTGAAACTGAACAGCCTGCACCCTTTAAAGGCAAAGGCACTAAAGAACAAGATAAGCCACCAAATGAAATTGCCCCACAGAATCGATGTGAGGGCAGTGACACTGAAACTGAACAGCCTGCACCCTTTAAAGGCAAAGGCACTGAAGAACAAGATAAGCCACCAAATGAAATTGCCCCACAGGATCGATGTGAGGGTAGCTTTGATTATGATATTGCAGAGTCTATGCATGAGGCAGATGCTGAATTTGATGAAAGGATGTGGTCTTTACACCATAAAGAACAAGAAAAAAAAGAGGTACTTAGGATGATGAAAGAAAATGAATTAAAGAATAAAATGTTCATGGAAATTGATGAGATGCAGAAAGAAGCTGAAAAAGAAATAGAGCTACACAGAAAACGCGTGGAAGTTAAATATAAGTATAATTTATTAAACTTTATGCATAACAGTAAATAAGGAAAACAAAGTAGTATAGTAGTAGTAGTAGTAGTAGTAGTAGTAGTAGTAGTAGTAGTAGTAGTAGTAGTAGTAGTAGTATGTTTTTAGTTTAAAATTGTAAAAACTGATTTGCCCTCTCAGTCGTCAGTATTTTCATTGCCTATATTTAACTCATCATCATTAGTTTCCTGCTCGTTCAAGGAGGCGGAATCAACTGGAGTGAACTGAATGGTAAGAGATGCAAGTAGTGATCGCACCGTTTCAGGATCACATTGGCCACTTTGGATCATGTCTTGTACAATCTTGCATTTACGTTCATCTGACTCTCGGAGAAGTCGCACCTTTTCTAATTCTACTTCAGCTTTTATTTTTGCAACTGCTGCTGCTTTTTCACCACGACGATCAATAATCTCAATTTCTGCATTTTTCTTATGTGTAACTTCATCTTTTCTTGTTGCAGAAGACTTCTCAATCTTCTCTAACTCCCTTTCGTGTTTCAACTTACTGGCCTCTTCATCTTTCT